CACACACACACACACACACACACACACACACACACACACACACACACCCGTATGTGAACATGCACCTCAGAGTTGCTATATAGACAACCAGAAGTTAATTTAGGAAGTACGTGGGGTGTAAGAAAGAACTATCTATTTAAATATCATATTTCATTAGTTACCTAAAGTAATTTAAACTAACAACATATTTAGAGATTGCTAACATAACTTACCTACACAGTTACCCACCCATGGGCAATGATGATCAAATTTTGCTATACAGCGGTTGCACACACCACAGTGTTTGGACCTAACTGGCTTCCGAATCTGTTAATAGACAAATTAAAGCACTGTGAAAGACACTTGCATATATAAAAGCTGAAAATTTATATTTTCAAAATACAACTGAAAAGACAGTTCTATATTTTTTCAGTTATATATTACCATCTTCACACCAAGAAAAACAAACAAAATTACTGTTAATTTGTTCAAAACAAAAAATGTTAGCAACAGGGGTTGGAGAGATGGCTCAGTAATTAAGAGCACTGGCTGCTCTTCCAGAGGTCCTGAGTTCAATTTCCAGCAACCACATGGTGGCTCCCAACCATCTATAACGTCATCTGAGCTGTCATCTGTCATGCAGGTGTACATACAGATAGGGCACTCATATACATTAAATAAATAAAATCTTTGTTTTGTTTTGTTAAAACATGGGTTTTTTTAATGTAGCCTTGCCTGTCCTGGACTCACTACGTAGACCAGGTTGGCCTCGAGCTCATTCTGCCTGCCTCTGCCTCCCCAAATACTGGGATTACAGGAATGTACCACCACACCTGGCTAATAAATAAATCTTAAACAACAACAACCAAAAACAAAAACCCTATAGCAACAAAGAAAGTAAAAGTACTCCATAATATGAAATCTTAAAAAGCATTTTTTTTTTTTTTTTTTTTTTTTAAAGAAAGCAGGGGGCTGGAGAGATGGCTCAGAGGTTAAGAGCACTGCTTGCTCTTTCAGAGGTCATGAGTTCAATTCCCAGCAACCACATGGTGGCTCACAAACAACCATCTAAAATGAAATTTAGTGCCCTCTTCTGGGGTTCAGATGTACATGCAGGCAGAACATTGTACATATAATGAAATAAATTAAAAAAAAAAAAAAAAAGAAAGCAAAGAATGGAAAACAGATTATGAAACCTAGTATATGGGAGGCAGAAGCAGGTGCATCTCTGTGTTCAAGGCCAGCCTGGTCTACTAAAAGAGTTCCAGAAGAGTTAGTGTTACACAGAGAAACCCTGTCTTGAAAACCAAAAACAAACATCAGCCTTTCTAAACTTCTACATGAAAAACTCGTTTGATTAATAATCATGATGCTGGTTGCTCTTTAATAAATAAAAGCTTTTTTTTTGGTAAGAAGACAGCCATGTTAAAACTGAATAAAACAGCTGGGCAGTGGTGGCGGATGCCTTTAATCCCAGCTGGAGGTGGGTAGATTTCTTTGAGTTCGAGGCCAGCCTGGTTTGAGTTCTAGAACAGCCAGGGCTACACAGAGAAACTCTGTCTTAAACGGAAGGAGAAGGAGAGACGGGATGACACACACACAAGACACAAGGCAATAACAACAACAAAACCCTAACACTAACAAAATAAAACAAGTAAAACAGCTTTTCATATTAAAAAACTTAATGAAGGTACCTTTCCCAAATTAACAAATTTAGCAAAAAACAGTACTGTTCTCTTTAACTGCTTCCTGCAATCTCAACTTAAAGTTCAGCATTTCCCCTGCTAGAACTGATGACCACACCAAAGAGTTTCATCATCACTATTATTCCGGTTTTCAAAAGCACTATAATACAATCCACAGTGCCTACTGCAAATGTCTTCAAATGTTCTCTCTCCCAGTATTGTATATGCTCACTCAGCCAAAGGAATACTTAGTCAGTGTTCTTCAGAGTTGCAACCCCAATGCTGAATTTATGACAAGAGCTAGAGCTATCAACCCACAACAGAAGCAAATGTCCTAAGATTCCGTCATACTGATGTTTCAATAAAACCATTTCCCTAAGACTTTGCATAGGTTATATACTATTCTGGGATAGCCAGGAAAAAGTAGCTCTTACACCAAGAATGATCCATGGACCAAAGAAAAGGATGAGTTGTTCTTTCTCACAGATGTGACTGCATCTATTTAGAAGGCGGTAGGATGCATCAGAACCTACCCCACTTTTATCACTTGGCTCGCCTTTTAAAAAATCTGAGCAATTTGCCACAAAAAACTAGTCTAATGGAGAATGTGGAGGCAGGTAGCTATCTCCTGTTGGGTGGGGATGAGCCCTTTACCAAGAGGAAATGAAAAAGAACAGGCCACTGGTCACCCTCTCTCTAATCACTGGCCCCACTGGTGCCTCCCTCCTCCATATACCATTTATTTCCCTAACCTCTCTTCCCAGCTGGGCTTGGGGGACTCTTTATAGATTTCACTTTTCTGACTGGGCCAGTAGTGGCTACTATTCTCTAGGGAAGGGGGAGTGAACAGAACTAACCTGGAGAGGGTGATAGGAAAGAGACCCCGATAGACCACCCTGTAACTTTTCCCCAGGCACAGCCTGAGGAATGTAGAGCTGCAGCTAGAATGGGGTGAGGTGCTAAGGTAGGACTGCACTAACCACACCCTGGGAAAGGCTTGCTTCCAGTTTACACTGACCCCACTGGTACTTGCTCTGGGACAGCAAAGCCATCCCCCCTCATTATTGGGACATTTCAACAGGAGTGAACCTTTTTTTTTTTTTTTTGTATGGTTGGTTATTTTGTTTTGTTTTTCTAGACAGGGTTTCTCTGTGTGGCTTTGGCTGTCCTGGATTCACTCTGTAGATCAGGCATGCCTCTGCCTCCCGATGCTAGAATTACAGGCCTATGCCACCATGCCAGGCTAGGAGTGAACCTTTTTTGTTATTTTATTTCCCTCCACTTTTTTATCTCGTGGATGTGTACCCCACAACACACACACCCGTGAGTTTTGTCTAGGGTCCTGCAGATATCCTCCACCTCATACTGTGTATTTAAACTTAAAGGTTTTGGATGTAACATGTGCTGACTGTTGCGTATTGTGTGTATTGGCGGCAGGGGGAGTGGGGTTGCATACTGAATGGTGGGAGCCTAAAATTCAGTTTTTCACTTTTTTCAAAAAGGAGAGAGCAGGAAAGTAGGCACATTTTGAAAAAACTGTTTTGGATATCTATGTGTTTTGTTTCTATTATTATTATTATCATCATCTACCGATGATGTGCCCGTGAGGCTGAGGGGAAGCACCCAACAGGAGCCTACCCAGAGTTCCCTCACCCATCACCCACTGAGGGGCCTTCCTTCAGACAGCATTAACCACTCTTGGGGGAGGGCAGCCATGGCTGTGGAGACTGCCCAAGTCTCCTTTATTAAATGATACTTGAGTGGGGAAGAGATGACAACCTGTACCAGCACCAAATTTCAAATAAATGAAAATGAAATATAAAAAAAAAAAAAATCTGAGCAAAAATAACAAGAGGTGAGTTGGTCTCAAGGTTTTTCAATATAATACTCTCGGCCTTAAACTAATGCTACCTCATTTCTAAAAACCCGGATCAACAAGTCTTCTTAGGAACTCATCTATTTATCAATATGAAATACAGCCATATAGAAAATTATGTCTTTATAATATCTTCTATACAATGAGGAATTATCTACCCAAAAGTACATGGTTTATGTTAATAAATAATAAAAGGTTTATGCCACAATGACAAAAAGCCATCAGTTACTTATTTAACAAGAAAACTTCTATCTGTGCTGACTATAACATCTGCATGTCAGCCAGGTGTGGTGGTGCATGCTGTGATCCCAGCACTCGAGGAGGCAAAGACAGGCAGATCTCTATGAGTTTGAGGCCAATCTGGTCTTATATATTATTCGTGGTAAAGCACAGAAACAAAACTTTTAATTCCTGAATGTGCAAAAGAATGTAGCCAGTGCCCAAAAATCAGTGCCAAAATCGAAGCAGGGCACATTCTGAACATTCCAATTATAAACGGAAACTAAGCTGTCTAAAACCTTCCCACAATTATATGTCCACTGTTTTATTTACTTACTATTATATACTAATAACAAGACATTAGTTTACTTGCAGTATTTAACTTAAATGTATTTAGTTCATGTATGATTTGGGGAATTTTAATCATTGTGGCAATGTTCATAGACTTTTCACAAATACTATAAAATAATTAAAACATAAAAACTTAAATTTAAATGTCTATGATAACTGATTTCAAAAATACCACTTTCAAGTTTTAATGTATAACCTGACTGAAAAATGACCATTTTTCAGTTTAATGACGATACAATACTCCAAGTTGCATATACTTCCAGACAATACTCAACTTGTATTTAAGACTATGCTGTCTGAAAATAATCTTTGTGGTTTTCATACTGTGACTTTTAAACTCTAGAATTTCTTTTAACTGTAGCTAAAACTTTTAATTTTATATAGCAGTGGGTTTTCACTGAGTCCTATTTTGAAGGATAAAGAAAATGAGACAAGTTATGAGCAGGGCTCTGCTGTGCAGTCAGGGTCTGCTACTAGGAACAGACACACTCTAGACAGAGCGCTTTCCTTATCACTCCCTGTCTGTCACAGTCTACATGATATGTGGAGGGTATGGGAAAGTACAACTCTTTCCCATACCCAGCACTCCCTCTATGCTGTGATACTATCAGGAGGAAGAGGAGAAATAAAATAATAAATATTACCAAGCAGGTACTGCAGAATATACTGAGGTCCAGACTTCCAGTCTCTGCAAGTTCAACTATCGTCTGTGAATTTACAAACAAACAAAAAAGCCTCTTACTCAAAACTGAATAATGCTCACCAACTTTTTTGTTATTACTTTGAATAATAAACATGCCATCTTTCTCAAAAATCTTAAGCTCAAATAAAATCTCTTGACTGACTCATTTTTTTCTATTTCAATACTGTATGAGAACTGAGGGACATCAGCACAGCAGTTTCTATGTCATCCATCTACCTAAAAGGGGAGTGGCCCACAGAATTTGCTAACGCCAGTTAATTGTGGGCAGGAATAATTCAATCAGATTTGTTTCCTTTTTAAAAGGGCTTTCTGGTTTCATTTTCTTGTTGTTTTTAAAGATAGGGTCTTGTGTGGCCCAGATACGTCTTGAATTTCAGGTCCTCCTGCCACTGCCTCCTTCCTGAGTGCTGAGATTACATGTAGTATGCAGCCCCCGCCCTATCTGAGAGAACTACAATAGTTTTCAAAATAATCAAAATACCTATTCCAATTCCCTACTGACAGAATACATGAATTTAGCCTGCAGCCCCTATGTCAAAGGAAAAGGATGCCCTCCATCAGACACAGACAGCATTTGGCTACTAGGATGGGGTGCCTGTACTGTTAGTTTACTGGCTTTCTAGTTTAACAGGTTAATTCAAAAACCCTGCTCTTGGGTGCAGGTTAATGAGATGTTCCAGATGTAGCATTCACCTCTGAAAGCAATCAGAGCATTCTTATGTTTATGGTTGTGAGCCTAGCCTTTAACGGCTGAGCCACCTCTCCAGCCCAATCGGCATTCTTGGTAAAGGAATGTTAACCCTAAAACGTAAAGCCGGCATCACCAGGGCAGTAGGACGAGCACCACATAAAATACGGATGAGCACACCCCTGCTTAACTGTCACTGATTCTAAGAGGTTCTTCCTTTTTATCAAAATCTCTGCTAAAATATTTATGAAATGGCAGTTAACTGGGTACATCACCACCTTTTTCTTTTGTTCTTCTGTGGCTTTAATAATCCCTGGATCTGATTTCCAGGACTTTCCAAAATTGTAGAAAAGTGCAACACTATTGGCAAGAAAAGGAAGGTGAATAAATAAAAAGTTGAGATGTATCCAAAGTTAAGGAATCTAAAACAGCAATGATAAGTTTTTATATACAGATTTATAATCCATATGGTTTTACCACACAAGAACACGTATTGACCAAAAATGGGCTTTCTAAACAAAATATACTTTTCAATAATGTTCACAACTAAGTACAAAAAGAAAAAATATGACTTTGCAATAAATTTAAGTCACAAAGCCCCATATAATACTTTAAAAGTCAGTAAACATTAAAAACCTCAGTAGATTAAGTCATCAGTATTGCACTTAAGAAAATGAAGGTATTTTCACATTCAAAGTTACACACATACTTTTCTTCTTGCACCAATTTTTTAACATATAAACATATATAGAGATGCCAATCTCTTTAGATATGTGTGATGATTAGATTTAATACTTTGACATAACCTAGTTACTTGGGAATTGTCTCAATGATAGATTATTTATGGTAGGTTGGCCTGTGTGTACACCTCTATGGGGGATTGGCTTTTTTAAAAGTGCTCATGTGTTCGCATGGAGATCAGAAAACATCACGTAGGAGTCAGTTCTCTATGACATGGATCCTGAGACCAAACTCAGGTCAGGTCAGAAGTATCTCGCTGGCCCCAACTGTCTTCAATAAATATGGTCAGAGCTAGCCCACTGGGGGAAGCACCAATCCCTAGGTAGGGGGTCCTGAACAATGTAACAGTGGATATATGAAGGTGAGCACATGCAAGTAAGCAAATAAACTGGTATGCCTGTTTCTCTGTTCATGACTATGAATGTGATGTGACCAGCTGTCACAAGAGTCTAGCACTATAACTTCCCCAAAGACAGACTGTAACTTGGGACTGTGAGCCAAAATAAAACCTCCTCCTCTGCATTGCTTTATTGAAGACTCTTAATTTCTACTTTAAATTACATGTACCTGTGCATATGCGTGTGTGTGTGTGTGTGTGTGTGTGTGTGTGTACAAAAGACAAATGAAGATAATGGATCTCCTGGAGCTGGAATTACAGTCAGTTGTAAGCCCCCTGATCTAGTTGCTGAGAACCAAACTCTGCCTTCTGGAAGTACTGCAAGAATAACTGCTGACTCATCTCTCTAGCTGTTTCAAGTTGTTTTTTATTGAGGTACCACAGAAACAAAAACAAAACATGGTTGTGTGTAGATTATATATATAATATACACACATATATATGTATATATATATATAAAATAATCTACATAATTTTATTGAACTTTTATGAGGTCTCTTTTTTTACTTTAAAAATTTTTATTATTATTATTTATTATAATTTATTCAATTTTTATCCCAGCTGTGTCCCCCTCTGTCTCTATCCAATCCTACCCTTCCTCCCTCCCTCTTTTCCCCCTATGTCCCTCCCTTAGTACACTAATAGGGGAGGTCTTCCTCCCCATCTATTTGACCCTAGCCTATCAGGTCTCATTGGGACTAGCTGCACTGTCTTTCTCTGATGCCTGGCAAGGCTGCAGCCCGAACGGGAGGTGATCACAGAGCCTGCCACTGAGTTCATGCTAGAGAAAGCCCCTGCTCCCCTGGGCTACATCTGAGCAGGGGTTTTAGGTCCTCTCCATGTATTGTCCTTTGTTGGGGTAACATTCTCTTCAGGGGCCCCAGGGTTCGGTTTTATTGCCTCTGTTACTCTCCTTTTGAAGCTCCTGTCCCCTCCACATCTTTCTATCTCCCCCTTCTTTCAAAGATTCCCTGCACTCTGCCTAAAGTTTGGCTATGAGTCTCAGCCCCTGCTTCGAAACTTCAATCGGTACAGTCTTTCAGAGGCCCTCTATGGTAGCCTCCTGTCCTGTTTCCTGTCTTCTCCTACTTCCAATGTCTATTGTATCTGTTCTTCTGAATGAGGATTGAGCATCTTTCCTAGGGTCTTCCTTGCTGTTTAGCATCTTTAGGAGTATAGATTTTAATATGTTTAACCTATATTAAATGGCTAATATCCACTTATTAAAGGTTGTATTTAACAACATGAAAGCAAAACAAACAAAAAACAAAACCCCAAAACTTTCTTCACTGCCTTTTTTTGAACACATTGAAGTTGAGGTTAATCCTCTATGTGTTTGATTAGTACCTAGACACTAGAAAACCACATCAAACACCAGAGAAGCAAAAAGTGGATTGTCAGCGCCTATTACATGATACCAATGCACAGGCCATTAATGACACATTACTTGACCTCCCCGCTAGCACTGAAAACAATGCTGCCAATTTTTCTGGCAAAAAGTGTTATTTTACTCTTTCAACTATGAGTCTCTGTGCTTTAAGAGTCCACTGTGAAGGGCTGAACTCACTGCCATTAACATTTTCATTTAAGAGTTTACAGGCATGGCTATGGCAGGTGATCCTACAGTTCTACAGTTCTACAGTTAGGAAAAAGGGGACCTCAGGCAGAACCTCAACAAGCTTCAGGACACCTGAGAACAGGCTCCTGAGCAGGAGCTCACAACTAAGCTTGTCTCTTAGGCAAAGAAAAGGTGACGGAGAGCCAGACAACCGCACTCACAACAAAGCACAGTGAATATGAGTCTAGAGGTAAAGTGGCCTTATTCCGACAGCAAAGCAGACAGGAAAAACCAGCAAGTATTCTAAAGCCTATTAGATAAAACATGAAAGTCTGAATAAATTCACTTCAGTTAATCATAGAAAAGATGAAAGACGAATAGAAATGACATAACAATTATGCTAGCATGCTTTCAAGAAAAATCAAAGGAGAAAAGTTTATAACAACCACAAGCCAAAGAATCCAGTCTTGACGAAGACACAAGCTAAGGGCAAAAGCAAAGGACTGAAAAACATTTCATAATTAAATTAAATAGGAGGACTCAATGGACAAAAGCACTTGCTGTGTAAACATACAGACCTGAGTTCAACCCACATTATTCACCCTGGAAGAGAAGAACCAGTTCCCAAAAGTGCTCCCCTGACCCTAACCACACACCAGCAAGTACATACCCCATACCTAATACATAATAATAATCAAAAGCAGAATGTAAGTTTAAACACGAATCCTATACCAAGTAAGAATTTAAGGCTAAGGCAGAATGACAGATAAAAAGAGTGTTTCTATACCTGACCAAACGGAGTCATATGAAAGGGGAGGAGGTCCTCCCCTATCAGTGGACTTGGAAAGGGGCAGGGAGGAGATGACGGAGGGAGGGTGGGATTGGGGAGGGAATGAGGGATACAGCTGGGATACAGAATTAACAAAATGTAACTAATGAGAAAAATAAAATAAAAAAAAAGTGTTTCTAAAAATAAGAAAACTGAGACCAAAAAAACTAATTGCCCAATAAACTAATAAAAAAACTAAATAAAGCATAAAAAGATTAATACCCTGAGGCTGACCTTGAATCCTTGATCCTTCCTCACCCTCCAAAATACAGCAATGATAGGTGTGCTGCCACAGAACACTTTCAATCTTAATGACTTCTGTCTTGAAGAAAGGTGGTTGTGTCTGTCTGTTTTCTCTTTTGAATGCTCTGCTGAGCTTCAACAGAGCCTGAGAACTCCACTCACCACTAAGCACTGTGAATATGAGTCTAGAGGTGAACTGGTCTCCCCTGTGGGTGTGAACTTACACCTGCATCTTTACAAGATTCATTTCTAAAGGTCAATCTTACAGGAGAAACTGCTCTTTACAAAAATAATACAGTAAAATACAATAAAGACCTATTTAAAAAAAATCAGTGAAAGTTTTCAGTTATTATATACTGATGCTAAGGTTCAGTGTATCAGAAAGAAACCCAAACCAACATACACATAGCAATATCTACAAAATGACAGCGAAAAGCTGACTACACACAAGGACAAACTGCTAAGCACATCAGTGCGTTGGAAAATTTAATGATTCTCCCCAGTTAAGTTTTGGTAATGACAAAATGAGCTGAAAAAGCACATAGAGTATTACTTTTTAACTTGTTGCTATTACAAAATTAAAGGAGTTAAAGACAAATTAGAAAGTTAAAAAGAGCACAAAAGCATAGGTCTACAGTCCAATGTATGTGGAAGCCGAGGCAGAACTCTCTTGACAACAGGAGTTCCAAATCAGATTGGGCAACAAAACCAAACAAGCCAGTTGATGTGGGAAACAGGTTCGAATGTACCTGCAGTTCCAAATTATCCTGTTTGTAAGATGTATTTTATACCAGGTGTTGTGGCACAGGCTGGTGGAGGCAGGTAGATCTTGGTGAGTTGGAGGCCAGCCTGGTCTACAGAGTGAGTTCTAGGACAGCCAAGGTTATTTAGAAAGACTCTATTTCAAAATTCAAACAAAGAAAACCACGCTTTTATTGATAATTATATTGATAATTTGCCGAAGTTAGGACATGCCTGATATACTAATTGTACTTTTTGAATGAAGCAAAAATCATTATGTGTAAAAAGAAATTAACTGTTAAAAAAAAAAAAAAAAGTGAGAGTAACAAAGTTCCTAGAGCCATGCCTGGCGGCATCACCTTTAGTCCCACTATTGAGGGAGGCAGAAGCAGGTGGATGGCTGTGAGTTCCAGGCCAGCCTAGTCTACAAGTCAAATCCTGGACAGCCATGGTTACCCAGAAAAACCCTGTCTCAAAACAAAACAAAAGAGAGAAACAAAGTCCTTAGACGCTAGCATGGTAACTCATGTGCAATCCTAACACCTGGGGAGCTGAAGAAGGAGTCCTGCCTTGAGTTCAAGTGAGTTTTTGTGCTATAATGACAAGACCCCACTGCAAACATGAGAGAGATAGACAGACAAGTGAGGGGTAGAGAGATCTTTAGAGAAAATACTTGGAGACTATAAACATGAAAATCACTGTTTAATACAAAAGTGAAAACTGTTTCAATCCTAGCTTTACCAAAGACCAGCTAAGGCTCCCAAGGCCTAAACTTTCCCGTTAATAAAATTAAACAATAGTAGTAGCTTACACAATATAGGTAAATGTTTTCTTTTAATTCAATTAATACTGGCTGATATTATTGTCTGTGGTTGTTAAAGACAGTTTTTAAAAGCACCATACTAAGTACACAATACTTAGAAATATTATTGATATTAGTTCACATTTGTCTACGAATGCTGCTTTACTGTAATAAATCATGTGCTCAGTCCTAATGTCAAATCATCAAACAGTTGCTTGATAAGACTGTGCTTTAAATACATTCTTTTACATCAAAGGATATCATTCCAAAACCAGAAGAACCATGTCACGTACATCCAGAATTTGGTTGCCAAATATATCCCAAGGGGCAATGCACTGTGCATTGAATGATCAAAAAAGGACCTGTAAAACATACATTTTATAAAATATAAGTGCTATATTTCATTACAAAATGAATACTGAGATTAAAATTTCAAAGATATTTAAATACTGACTGTTTTCACAGTAATGAGTTCAGCAAGATTCTTTTCATCAACAAGAATTAAGCTATATTTTTCTATACTTTCCAACTTCAGAATTTCAGTGTTCCTATTTGTTGAAGTCAGTAATCCCTTTTAATATACAGCACACTATTCAAGGACATTACAGTTCTGACAAGGGAAGACAAGACAATGCTCATCTCTCCCACCTAACCAGTTCAGCTAAGGCTAGGGCACATCTTCTCAGGTAGAAAGAACTGGCTGACTCAGTCCAACAAAGGCTTGTATTTGTAATACCTTAGGAAGACACTGATAAATCTCATTGGTACAAACAGGACCCTTTATCCAGGTAGATCAAGTAGTCTTGATGTTTTCCTATTTAATATTTAATGACCTGTAAGAGCACTTAGAAATACTACAGAGATGACTTAACCAGCAGTCAGCCCCTCCTTAGAGCTAACTAACATTAGTGTTAAGATTAGTAATTCCTGTGTGAACTATTTCCATAGATTTTCTAAGATTTCTGTGAAAATAAGATGTTTAGAGAAGGCAAATTAAATAAAAAGAGCTGGATCATAGTCACCTTCCTAGGTTTGCTAGACCAGGCAACTTTTGTGACAAAATGACTCAAGAGGAAATAAAATGGTTAGTGCTTAAAGGAAAGCAGGAAAGACTTTCTGAAAGACTGAGCCTGCTTTGTGACTGTGTAGACATACACAGTAGTACAAGTCAGCCATCTTTGTTGTCTAATGCTGTTAACCAAAGGCAATACCTATAGAAAGCGTAACTACCTGTAAGCTAATAATACCACATGTGCACAGCTGAACAAACTCAAGTTCACTTCTAAAGAAATATTTTAACTATTTCTAAGAATGTATTTTCCTTCAAAAAAAAAAAATCACACACTAGACTTGTCATTAAAAAGCTTTTTGAGTAATTTTAATAATGCTTAAAAAAAAAAAAACACGAATGAATTTCACAAGTTACCAATAATGACAATATTCTAAACACAGAAAACACTAGTTTGCCATAGGGTAAGAATTATGTTCTTTCATAAAATTAAAGTTAAAAATAACACACTTACTTGGAAAGAAATTGTACTGTAGCCCAAACGCCACCATACATTAGCCCTTTAATGAGCCAAGAATCAATATTTAGGTCTGCTATAAACCCAACCAGCCAAATTACTAGGAATGGAGTTCCTAGCATTACTTTTTGCCGAAATTCCTGTAAAACAAAACAAAACAAAAACAAAAACCAAATGTCACAAAGTTTTTGTGTTTCAAATGATTTCAATCTTAACCATAGACATTTTTATTAAAGTATGCAACCAAAAGTGAAATGAATTCCATCCATTCAAATCTGCCTATTATGTTCAGGTAGCACACACACACAAACACAAACAAACAAAAACAATGTTTAAAAGAAGTTTGTTAAGACTGTGGAAAACTAGAAGTTGAAATTATGGAAGTGGGTTCTACCCAGACAAACAAACAAACAACAACAACAACAAAAAAACAATGAACATAGGTTGGGGCTGCTAGCTAGATAATAGTTCACAGCTTAACATCCCATTTTAATAAAAGAATTGCAAATTAGAAAGACAGGGACAATCACCATCAGTGGTCTAATAACTATCACACAGTAGAAAACTATAGATGTTTAACTTGGAGAAAACATTCAAAATGATATATATTAACAGTGCATTAAAACTGTAAAATGAAATACAGAATAAAGCCAAGGCCAGTAAGTTGGCTCAATGGTAAAAGTGCTTGCCACACAAATCTGACCCCTTCAGTCTGATCCTTGAAACCCACAGTGAAAGGGGAGAACTGACTCTCCAAAACTTGTTCTGACCTCTACAAAATGTACCATGTCCATAAAGGTGTTCCCAAATACATGCACGTACACACAAACACACATAAAACAACAACAAGCAAGCAAACAAATACCAAACAACCAGCAGGGCTTCTCAGCCCACAGAATGGGAGTACAGACCCTGAACACCTTACAAGTGCTCAGAAGTCCACACTTCTACGATACAAATCCACACACCTCTCTATACCACAATTTATCTTCACAGCAGCATCAAGCACCACTTATTGTCTTGTTTACAGAATAGTTCTCCACAAACCTCAGTATCTTGCCTAAAACATCTTAGGTGACAAAACTACATAAAGATATTTAGCTGTGCGTTTTGTTTCCTTTTTTAGGCAGTCTTATGGTATAAGCCCAGGCTGGCCTGAACCTCAAAGAGGTACTGCAATTAAAGGTATAAGCCACCACATATGGCTTTCATGTGATCTAACTTACATGGTATGGATACATCACAGTCTGTTTAAACTTTACCTATTAAAGAACATCAAATTGTATACAGTTTGGAGTTATGAATAAAGATGCAATAGTGGCATCTAGATTTCATGTCTGTGAGATAAATGAAATTTTGCACTATACAGATCACAAGTTGTTTTCTGTAGTATTATATTATTTCACAATCCCACCAGCAAGCATTTGAGCAATTCAGTCTTTCAGACATGTCTTAAGGCTTCTTTCTTTCCTCTGTGTATGTGTATACTTGAGATAGCATCTTGCCATGTCTCCCACAGTGGCCTAGAAGTCAAGATTCCCCTTCCTTTAGCCTCCCAAGTCCGGGATTATAGATGTACTCCACCATATTCATTTAGCTCACTTTAAAATTGGATTCCTTGACAAATTTTCATTTTTGGGTTTTAAGAATTCTTTCTATAGTCTGCATGTTAGTCTTTTCTTTTACAGATGACTTGTCAGCATTATCTTCCAGTTTGTAGCTTGTCAATAATTTTTATTTTCTTAATAGGTTTTTAATCCATGTTCCTATAGATAATCCCAACAAATTTACTGGGTCATCAAACTAAACCTGATCGGAATCTTTTCTTCAGTCAGATGTCTGTGACTTATCTGAGTTGAAGGGAAAACGTTCACACTTTCCAATAAAATGTTCAAGTAAAACATGTTCAAAATTAATAATATCTACTTTTCTATCTTCATAGATCTAAACTTTTAAAGGACTACTAATGCTTTTTCTTCATTTGATCATTATACAGTTTCATTTACTGAAACATAAACCTGCTTTTTTAAAAATCCTCTAACTTTAGGGAGTGGAAAAATGGCTCAGTCGGTAAAGTGCTTGCTAGATAAACATGAGGACCGAAATTCAAACCCCAGAACCTACATTTTAAGAAAGCCAAGTGTGGTCCCATATGCCTGTAATCCCAGCACTGAGGAGGTGAAAACAAGATAACAGCTGTGGAGCGGATTATCCACCACCTAGTCTAGCCAGATCAGTGAGCTCCAGGGAAATGAGAGGCATGGCCTCAAAACAACAACGCTAATGTAAAATCAACTGATGAAGACATCTGCCATCAATCTCTGGCCTTTCCACTCTACACACACCTATGCATGCCCCTTTATGCCTAATGCATGCACACACACCCAAAGCCTTCTAACTTTTAAAAATCTAAGCGGTTTTAAAACTGTTTCCTGAGCAAAATTCCTCCCTATCTGCCTACTAGAACTATCTAGTTTTATCTTCCCTTTTGAGGTCACGTTTTAAAATAAAGTGCTAAAGAAACCTAGTGTCACTATTACCTTGTTTGGATTTTCTCTACACCCTCAAATATAGAACATACCTCAAGAGGCTGGCAAACAAAATTATGTTCATAATTTAAAATGTCCTAATGTGAGGTGGAAAAAGAAATGAAACGTTCATATGATTATGGTGCTTAATGTCACACAGCTCTCAGTTATCATGTCTTTTCATCTAGTAGCCCTTTTTAGAGAAAACTTAACATATGCCTTTAATCTCAGCAGTTGGGGGCAGAGACAGGCAGATCTCTGCGAGTCCAAAGAAAGCCTGATCTACATAACAAGTTCCAGGCTACCTAGGGCTGGCTACCCGGGAAGAAACTGCACGTCTAAGCTGGTCACTGTACCACACAGCTGTTCATACTGCACTACACGCTGCAGCTCTTCCTTGCATATGTGTAGGTTATAGTGTGGAGCTGCACATGTGTACATGTATATTTGGAAGCCTGAAGCTGACATCAGGGAACTCCCTTATGTACTGAGTCAGGGTCTCTTTGCTGTTTTGCTGTTCTGACTCTTGCTCCCTGGATTCCCTACCTTTGGTACATTGCGATCATGGAGCTGTGGGACATGACCTACCACTTTACATGCAGATTCTAGAGATCCAACCTCCAGTTCTCATGTGTGTGAGATAAGTCCTCTTTTGCTGTGCCATCTCTCCAGCCCCTGAAGCTCTTTCTCTCTCACTTTTAGAAGTTACTTTGTACTTTAATTGTTGGTAAGCATTAACATCACATGCAGAAACAATTCATTTTATCTGTGAAGTTTCAGAGCAGCTGTATAGGTTAACAAACTACAAACACAGCTACTCTGGTAGGGATGACTCACTAAGGGAGTGTGAATTCTTATAAATAAACAAGCTGCTGCTTTCAAGTAAATCATACTACATTCATTCCTGTCACACTGGCAGGTATGACTTCTGGGTTAACTTCTGTATATTTTAGTTTTGCTAGTAGTAAAGCTTAAGTGATCAATTTTTCTATAAAAATCACTCATGTGATTACTGTTAAGCTAAAATATAAAGTATATATAAAATATAAAATCATTTAATTATTTAAGCATATTTTTAAATGTCAGTTAATTTCTTCCTTTTTAGTAGAAATAATGTTTTCTAAGGAACCTAAACTCTGACTTTGAGAAAATGTCTTAAGTTTTAAAATCCTATTGTAAGTAGACAGTTAAGCCAACAGCTATAAATTTTAAAACTAAAATTCATGAAAGAAAATGGATTTTCTGTGAAAGATCCCAAAATGAAAGCTTTCTCTCTAAAAATTATACATCACAAAGAATAAAAGGCTCAATTAATCTGAGCTATCGTACTCAGTTTACAAAGATTTACACTAAGACTAAGATGGGTCACAGTTCATTATCAACAAATGCACAGGCATAGGGGATCCTCTATTTACTAAAGACCCTTTAGGTGAAATTTATGTTCCCAACGGAGATTTAAACCCATTCATATGCACCCATCCTCACGAAGTATCACCCAGCATAGACCATACACAGCTCAAAGAAACTGTGCCAAATACTCTCATCTTATTTTGGCTGAGAAAATGTTTTAACCACGATAGCGGGAAATGTAAAAATTAAGGTATGTGAATATGTAAAGCAAATTACAGATAGAAGGCTGAAAGCTTTTCAGCCACAAGTTACCTTGTCAGCCTTCAGCTTTCTAAGGAAAGAAGGGTTGTCGTACCCTTTTGCTTGCCTTGCCTCTTGCAAATGGTTGATCATCCACACGTTTTTTCTTTGCTTTGCCAAATCAAGTGCTGATTCACCCTGATAAAGTAAATAGAAGAAATTCACATTAAAAATAAAACTAATGTTTTTATTAATAACTTTTAAAGAAATTCCAAAAATAAATAAATTGACTATATAACTTCATTGACAATGGTTTCTGACATTGGATGAGGTCAATTTTAAAAGCATAAATCATTACATACCTGTTATCACTTCCCATTCAAAATGCAACCAAAAATACATTTTCTCATCTTATGCTATAGATTCTATTTTTGCTTGCATTTTTGACAAATAAGAGAGCAAATCAAAAAGTAGGTATTTTAGTACCTGCTGGATCAGAGGCTAACATTAAGCTCATCAGTTAGTGTACATTCCTCACAGACCTCACTAACAATACTGAGTGCTGTAAGACATCCTAACACTGTACCAAGCTGTCAGGAATCTGTTTTACTTCAGTGATGGTGAGCGACTTGACAAGAGAACAGGGAGGAAAGGAAAAGTGAACTTCTACCACTGCACTGGCATTGAACCTGCCATAAACATCCACCCACACAGACTCCCACACAACAAGACAGCAACTCAAAGAGAATCATTTCATTTTCAAGCTGGGAGCTACGAGGTCCCTTTAATCCTAAAACAAGAATGCCAGGAGTACAGAACAAGCCAAGAAAGAAGAAACACACAACTAAAAGTCCTACGTGTTCCTTTTTGCTTTCATTAATTTAAACTTTCTATTTCTTTTTCTTTCATTTCCAATCTATTTAATCTTGTCTATTTATCTAATTCTTTGAATAAAAAAAGATAAATTAAAACTGTTTGCCAAAACTGAAAAATAATATTCAAAGTATTTTTAGAAAAATAACCATTGAAATTTTACTTCAAAATGTTGAATTTAAAAAAAAAATGGAATCCTAAGGACCTTTTGGGAAAGATAATAACTTATCAAGTATGGAATACAGTTTAAAAGAAACAAAAAATTAAGCATAATACTACCATACAGCAACAAAGAATTATAAACAAACAACGATAAAATTTTTCAAAAGCCCAAGCAGATTTTTAATACAAAAACCAACAGTATTTAATAAGGAATGGGCTAATCTAGGTGAGCCTTCTACAAATAGGGATATTTATTTTAGATATTCCTTGCTTACTCCAGAATTCCATCACCTAAGTTTTCAGAATCAGCTAATTAATCCAAACTATAAATATTACCTGAATAATAGCAATCCCTTGGGTAACAACTCCCAGAATATCCTGCAGTTGCCTCGGTCCAGCTGAGCACCCCTTCCACTAGAGGGCCATGTGACACCTAAGGATTGCCTAGACAGAAAGATTGAGGGAGCTTTAAACACCTTTAACTCCTCTAGTCACCTAACCATATAGTTGTTTTGTTTTGTTTTGTTTTAATTCGGCTGGTAAAATAAACAAACAATTCAAGAGTTATACTAAAACCAGGGTGTGGAATCAAGTCTATATATGATTACTCCATGTCACAGCCAAAATAGTAAGTAATAGTAACAAAAGTAACATGAGCAAGAATCCACATGGAGTATTTATAGACTATAGCAGACTACATCACTGATCATAAATAGAAGAAATTCTTCAGGGGTTTTGGTCAAATAACCATGGCTAAGGTGGAAGATCTCGACGGTATGCCTTAGTGGGACACTGTCAAAACTAACAAATACTAGCTAGAGACCATTGAGGTCGGGTGTTCAAGAGCTAATGAACAACTGAGTGAACCTCCTCTCAAGAACTATAGGAGATCTTTCTGTCTATTTACACGCTTTGACAGTTTCAGAAAGAAAAGATGGAAAAGCTTGGGTATCATTCAGATTAACTGTTCTTCCCAAATTAAAAATTCTAACATCTGTTTAACTATAACTACAGAATAAAAATCTTTAAAAATTAACAAAACCACCATAGTAAAAAGAAGTATGATATAAGCCAGAAATTCATTTTTTTAAAATTCTTAGTAGTACAGAAATTACTTTTTAACCCTATGGTTGCCATTTAAACATAACCGAGGATTGTTGCTGTAAAATTCTTTGACACTTATCTGACGAAAAGCAACGATATTCTTCCCCCCCAAATGCTGTAACAAGTATTATTTTAAACAAGTCCATGCCATCCTAGATCCACACACAGGGGCCTAATCAAGGGTATTTAGCTACTTCTTGTTCTTCCAAATATCAACTTTAAAATATTAAGTTAACTATTATTAAAATAGTCTTCAAAATAAATTGTCTTACTTTGATGAAAGAACTTTGTTTTATATATTAAAGGAATCTAACTTCTTTTTCAAACAATTAATTTACAGAAGCAATTTCTAGTTAACATAAACTTAAAAGAAACTTAACCATATTTTTAAAATAATTATCTGGGATAGGACCATAAATAGTTAAATAATTATAGCAGAGAATGTTTTATCTTGTCTGAAGAATAAAATTTTTTAGAGCTTTTAAAATCAAACCTAGATTTTATAACTTATTTTTATTTTAAAATTTTAAGAGATATATTTATTTTATGTTTATTAGTGTTTTGCCTGCATGCATGTATGTGTACCACACGCATGCCTGGCACCTGCCAAGTCAGAAGGGGGTGTCAGATTCCCTGGAACAGGAATTACAGATGGCTATGACCCACCATGTGGCTTCTGGGAAATGATCCCAGGTCCTCTGTAAGAGTAACAAGTATTCCTAAATGCTGAGCCATCTCTAGCCCCTACAATTCATTTTTAGTAACAGATTTCCTAGTACTTAAGATGAAAAGTAAAATAAATAAATGTCAAAATTATGGACAAAGAATTATATTGAAGGTTTTTTAAATAAAAATTTCCTTTTCAAAATTTGCAGCAAACTAAATAATTAGCTTTACATGGTACACAGTGAAAGACATCACTTCATGCTAAATATTATCAACAGAATGAATTCCTATCATCTTCACTTCAAAATAGCACTTTCCCTTCAGGATTCACAACTCCAACATGAGTCAAAAGACAAGAAAAACAAAACTGCACCATCAATGATGATTTCATTTGTTCTAAAATATAATCTACCTTGTCATTTCTACTCTACAATATTATACATACTATCTCCAAATCCTTTCAGTTATCTCCATATCTAGTCCTTAGCTAAGACTACATGGTTCTTAGAGAGTAACAAAAGCACCAACCTAACTGATGTTTCAGTGCTTCTACTGTCTGATTCAATCACTTCTTCACCCCAAAGAGGATCTAACCTAAGAAGCACATCCTATGGCAGTGTATACAAACACCTCTGTTTCCTAGGACTTAGACAAGGTTAAGCTTATCACAGATGCCACTTCTTGTCACTGTACTTGCAAGCCGGCCTCAGTTATGCACTAGCACTCAGCAGCTCCACCCTCCTGGGCCATGTGATGTGCAGACCTTACATGGAAAATCTGTTTACCACTTATTTCTGCACAGCTGATTCCTCCTCCTCAGAACCGTCAAACAAAGTATCATCTCAGAGGAATTCTCACCTTCTCAGGCCTGTCACTCAATTGCAGCTAATTATTCATTTATTTACTATTTTATTTCTTCAACAGAATGTATGTTCTGAAACAACACACACCTTAATCTGTCTTCAACATTGAGACAACCTAACAATGAACCAATATTTACTGAATGAAGGAAAAATGGTTTCTACCAGAAGTAGTACCTACATTTCAAAAATACAGAGAAAACTAGATTCCAACACAAACAGCATTCATTTTTATTTTCTCCTTTTAATTATATGAAAAGAGCATTTAGGAACAAAAAATCTTTCTTAGCAGAGTGGACAGAGATACTTTTCCCTCAAAATTATAAATGCTTCATATATAAATTATTTCCTTAGACTTAATTTCCTTTAGTTATAATGTTACTCCAAAAAGTATCAAGAGCATTCCACCTGAAACCACTGTTTCAGGCTAGAAACAGTGATAGGATGTTTGCCTGGCATGCATGAAGTCCTGGATTCCGTCTCTAATATGAATATGGGGACTTTTTCCTTTTTAACCAGTCAACCTTAAATCTATGTTAGATAAAGTAAAAATTATCAGGCATAGATTTAAATAAAATGTTTACACTCAATCACTTGGCACTATAGACTCTTAGAAGTATTCTGATCGTGGTACCCTATCATTAATATCCCTGAACCCAGAACACACACACATTTTTTAAAAAAGATGAAAAAAAAAAAATCATGTAAATACTTTGTATCACCTCTGTCCTTATAGCTTTCTGTTGAAATTCACTGTGGACTTTTCTATCTTAACAAAATTACAGGTTTATGCAATGGTTAGTGGGGACCACAACTTATCATTCATTATTTGAAAAGATGTTAAAATTTTCAAACACACTACAAATATTTAAATATCCTAACTAAAGAAAACTGTCCTAAGATTTTTTGTGAATATATCATGGGCTCCAAATTACAGAACTGTAGAGTCACCTTGCTTTCATAATTATTTGGTATATTATAATTTAAATATATTAATTTATTAGAAAAAAGCAAACCGAGGTTAATTTTTTGATACTGGTTCTATTTTTTTTTTTTCCCAGTGATTTAAGAAATACGTTGAAATGTATTTCTAGTACATGAGCCTTAAGACTGGGCAACTAAAAGTCAAAGAGAGTAAGACAGGAAGAAATGCAGATGACAAAACTGAGGCAATCTCAGTTAACCTTCCCTAAGGGAACACTGGTCAGGTTTAGTGAAGCATTTTCCTTATGCTTTGCACCTGAGCTCAGCACAGCTTACTGCTGCCAGTGTTAAGAACTTTCAGGGTACCCTTTAAATTTTCTGCAAAGGCAAGCACTACTCTATCATTTCCGACGTAGCAGAATGGTATCCTAGCAGTTCATTCGGTTAGTCAATAGGTATTTAAGTGCCAATCACATGCCAGTCATTACACTATGCCAACTTTCCCTTTTCCATGTGTTTAGTGGACCATTCTGATCATCCTAGGTAAGAACAATTTAAAAAATAGAAAACACATGATTTTTATCAATTTCATATTTAAACTAAACTCAGAATTTTTAATTAAACTAGTTTCTAAAAATTCACTAAGCTACAAAATAAAAGGAAAAAAAAACCGTCCAAGCCATTTTTAACAGTCCAACCTTCTCTTCTTAAAGTAACCAAATAAAGGAAGAATTTCTCATTAAATTTCTCATAAAGAGATGCCTAGATCCAGCAAGAGATACCTACTCTTTGATTGGCTATTCCAGGTTAGTATATATCTTAAACTCCCTTTATATTTAATTAGCACATATCCCTTTGGCATTTATAAAATATGGCTCAGAAAATATTAAAAATTACAGGTAAGTCTTAAAAATATTTGTCTAAAGACAATGATTCCTGAAAGTATTTGCAGTCGTTGTCCAGATTAGTGCTAAATGACACAGTGGGTCCTAAGTTTTGAAGAATGCAAAAGATTAGCCAAAACATTGAGATTACCAAGAGAACCATTATTTGACACTTATTGATGCTGTGTTTGTGTGTGACTGCACCTGTGCCACACAGGACACACGTGGAGGTCAGAGTACAGCTTGAAAGAGTCAGTTCTCTCCTTTCACATGTCCTGGGGTTAGAACTCAGGTTATCAGGCTTGGTAGTCAGCGCCTTTTGTCTACTGGGTCACCTTGTAGTCCCCCAGTATAATCTTGTGTTTGTACATGTTTTATGGTGTCTACAAATCCTAAAAACTCAAAGTGTACATGTTAAATTGTACTTGCCTCTTAGATTAATCCTGTATATATATCCTGGGCTAATTCACCATTATTCTATGGATAACATAAAGGGTGTTATCAAATTTAAGTCTTATTCTTTAAAGAAATGTTACTAAAATGACTAAGTCAAAGAATTACTGGAGTTTCTTAGGAGTATGTTTTTATTCCTGCTGTTACTATTATTTGTGTGTGAGAAGACACAATGCCCTTGTGAATGCTTGTGCCAGGTGGTCAGAGGACACCTTTATGGAATTGGCTCTCTCCTTCCACCTCTTTACATGGATGAGTTCAGGGAGTCACTCAACTTAGGTTGCCAGCCTTTACAAACAAGTGATTTTACCAACTGTGCCATTCTGCTGATAGGATGTGTTTTGTAACTATAAGTTTAATGTAATGATATTAAGAAACCAGAAAGCTTACTGTCCTTCATTTGTAGACATTAGAAGCATGTAATTTCTAAAATCCAGTACAAATTCACTAATAAAAAGACGACCCCAAAACTAATATTATAAGATGATAGTAAATGATCCAAGTTTTGAGAACAAATTATTTCGTGGCATGGAAACAAAGAATTGAACTAAAAGTTTTTCTAATTTTCAATCTTCAAAATCAAAACTAAAACCATGTTTTATGGAAGGCCTTCCTTTCCCATCAACAGCAGGACATGCTCACCTTGATATTCTGAGCATCCACATTCCCTCCAGCCTCCAGAAGCAGACTAATGACTGTGGTGTTCCCTGCTAGAACTGCCCAGTGCAGAGCAGTGTTTTTGTGATACTTGTCACCAAGGTTAACTGAAACATTGAATGTTAAAAGCAATCTAGTTGGATCCACACTGAAAAGGAAAAAAACAAACAAACAACAACAACAACCCTAATTTCAATTATCGAAATCATTACAAAGACTACACTGATTGTGGCTGCATTCTTATTCCATCTTGGGACATATCTATTCTAGCCTCGATAATATTACAGTCAGCAATTAAATGATACTCTAACATGAACTGTCATATATGCACAACCCTGTATAAAGTAATATGGTGCCAAGAGACAGCACACTTGGTCCTATCTTTCATATTTTAATCTAAGAATTTATGTAAACACCTATACATTGAAAGAATAAAAACTTTTTATTTCAATTTAGACTGATTCAAAAATGATTTAAGACAGCTTACAAATGAATACATAAAACTTTACAAAACAATCACATGAAAAGATAATTACTAAAAGATAAACTCTCCTTCCCTTCTCTGAACTAAGGTTACTGAGCCAAAGCAAAACAGCCAGTGAGTAATTTGTGTTACGCACTACTCACTGCTACTCGAGCTGTCATCAGCACTAGGTAGAATGTCTCTGCTCTTCCTAATCACTTGTTTTCATGCTATACTATGCTGAAGCCATCTGAAAAGTCCATAGCAGTTACATACCTATGTGTTCTATAAGCTGCCCACATTAACGGTGTCATTCCATTCTGATCCATCATATCTACATCCTGAAAATAAAGCCAGACAGCAGAATTTTAAGATCCTAGCCAAAATTAGTTGGAAACATCTAATTTATACATCAGACAATCTAATACATTACTACTCAACTGAGAATGCTTTATGAAAGTTTCTTAACTTTACACTGTAAGTACTGCCACTTACTAGACTAACTGGTTTGCAAATTATACTTTCATGCTTCACTTTTAATGTTTCACATTTAAAGACCTTTTCAGCTTTATAATTCTAAGTGGTCTTCGAACACTATTATTACACAATCTTAATTTAGAATCAACAATTTTTACTAGACTTTCATTGGATGAAACTTGCCATGTGACACTGTTTTGCAGTCTTCATTTTCCGAACATAAAAGATGAACCATAGTTTTATATCGTAATTTCCCTGACAATTTTTGTTTATTTGTTTGAGACAGGGTTTCTCTGTGTACCCCTGGCTGTCCTGGAACTCACTCTAGACCAGACCGGCCTCAAGCTCAGAAATCTGCCTACCTCTGCCTCCCAAATACAGCGATTAAAAGCATGTGCCACCAGTGCCTGGTTTCCTTGACAATTTTTAAGCATTTATAAATATTATACCTATTAAGTTATAAAATATTATATCTAAATATTTTAAGTATATACTGTTTTAATATGTAGAAAGATTACTCAGAAAAAATAATTTAAAAAGTCTGATCATCATGTTGCATCTTTCATATAAAAATATCATGCTAGTAGAAGTTCTGTTCTTTGATTTTTTTGGTACTTTTTCTATTAAATTGTTTCATTTTATTTTGTGATATGGCCTGGCATTAACTATACCAGCCCAGCTGGACTAAAAAATGTGGGGGTGCTCCTGCCTCTCAGCCTCCAAAGAGGTGGATTACAGACAATGTGCCAACATACCTAGCACCACTGATATTCTGTGTGCATCTCTGTCTCTCTCTGTGGTAGGCACATATCTGTGCTCAAGCTCACTTATCCACATCGGTATCTTCCACTTCCTGTTCTGAGACAGTGTCAGCAAGACTGACTGGGTAGTCTGAGGCTACACCTGCTGCAATTCTGGGATTACCCCAGTCAGCTTTCACCTGCATACTAGAGGTGCTCATGCTTACACAGCTATCGTTCCAACCTGAGTCATCTCCAAGCCTCAGCCCCTTGATATTTTAAAACCTACATGTTTTAGGACATTCAATCACACTGTGAATACCAAGATTGTGTTGTTTACTGGAAAAACCTGTTTTTAGTTGTGGTATGACTCAGCCTTAGCACACACCTTTAATCCAAGAGCTTTCTGCTTGAATTAAATAAAATCAACCATACATCAAGATTCAGAGCAAGCAACCAGTTGACAAGATTGAACATAGAAAAAAATCCATTGAGAGTCAGAGAAAGTCAGGAGGACAGATAGACACATAGGAAATAGAAAAGAGGGACATTCAGTTTGAGGGTTTTTTGAGTGGGCGTGGGGAAGAAGCACTTCTTCCTTTTGAGACATCGGCAGAGAAGGAAGGCCAGCTGGGTGCTTTCTCTGCCTCTCTCAGCTAGCAGGTTTTCACACCAGCATCTGGCTCCCTAGTCTTTATTGGTAAAATTTAATGTTTGAGATTTTGTTAAAAACATCATCTACATACATGTCTCCAGATTTAAAAAAATAATGAAATGAGCCAAACTTCCAAATCAATTGCATTAACAAAAAGACAATGAATACTCAAAAACTTATGTAATATTTTTCTTTCCAGTTAAAAGGGGAAAGAGAAAGTAAGTAAGCAGAAATGCTCCAATCCCTGGCGTAAGAAAGAAACTGGGATAAAAATAATCTCCTATGGTAGTTTCTAAAAATGCTCCCTACAATATCCACATCCTTGTGCGACATCCCCTACACTGAACCTGAGCTAGAATGTTTTAGCTAACAGAAACACTGCTTTGCTAGAAGAGTTGTTAAGTGTTCAGAGCTCAGTGGGCCGTTTTATGGGAGCTTGGAAGATAAGAAATGTTTAGAGAAATACAAATGATGGAGGACTGGCTTGTGAAGTTTCAGAGGGAAGTTCTGAGAGTCCCTTAAATAACATACAGGGCCATTCAATATTTTAAAAATCTGTAGTTCTGACAAGCTGGAGCTGAAATGCTGACTCTGGTTAATAAGAGAACAGCAACCCTGAAGTAAAACACTTGTTTTACTAGAATGATTTATGTTGGTTAGCTGGAGCTGAAAAATTAGTGGTGATTAAGAGAAGACCAGCAGCAAGGCACAGCTGGTGCACACCTGTAATCCCAGCACTTGGGGAGAAAAAGGCAGATGGATCTATGTGAGTTCAAGTCCAGCCTGGTCTACAAAACAAGTGCAGGAAAGCCAAGGCTATACAGAGAAACCCTGTCTAGAAAAACCAAAAAAAAAAAAAAAAAAAAAAAAAAAAAGAGAGAGAGAGAGAAAGAGAGACCAGTATCATTGTGGATAGTAAATCTATGAGCATTTCCTCAGGGTCAGCACACAGAAGCTGTGGTCCAGAGAGGGTTGAGATGCATCTTATGCTGGGAGCTGACCTTGGTATTCTAAGAGTCATGCAGGTAGTACTGGTTTTGAAGGCAGGAAGGGGTCACAGAGAACAACTGAGGCTTGGCATTGTGTGATGGGAGTGGAGTCCTGGAAGAGAGGCCAGAAGAGGATAATGGCGTAAGTGCAGCCCAGCTGCACCAGAGACTAGTATTTTAGAGATGCCAGCACCATGGGACAACCACCAAGGCCAACAGGTATGGAGACGAGCAGCCATGTGTTGTGGAAGGCTGTGAAAAGCCCTTTGGAGCAGTCTAGAAGGTTGTGAGTGAATCCCATATGTGTGACACTGAGCTCTTTACACTGACTTTGATTTTGCTTTGTTCAGGCTGTGACTGTATCCTGGTTCTTCCTTCTTGGAGTTACAAAGTTTTTAACTTGTTAGTTTTTATTTTATAGGAGCCCATAGTTATGAGACCTTCTAGATTTTAGAGAGACTTTGGATATTTTAAAGAAATACAACTTTTAAAGTGTGAATTTTTCAAAGAAATTTGGAATATGTTTTATATTGTGATAAAACTAACAAACCATCTTGGAGACAAATGAAAAAGGAAAGGTTCTAATTGAACTGTAATGATTCTATGTCAAGATGACAAGGGGGCAATTGTGCTGATTAGTTTTATGTGAACTTGTCAAGACTACAGTCAATTTAGAAGAGGAAACCTCAATTGAAAAAAAATGTTCCCACCAGATTTGCCTGTGGGCAAACTTGTGGTACACTTTCTTGATCAATGATTACTGTGAGAGGGCCCACTTCACTGTGGGCCGTGCCACACCCCATCGTCTCATAGCCCTGGGTGCTGTAAAAAAGCTGAACTTTTTGAAGAGTATGGTAACAAGCAGAGTTCCCTCTGGTTCTCACCCTGACCCCATTTAATGATGGACTGTGAAGTGAAGTGTGAGTAAAATAAACCCTTTCCTCTTGAAGCTGCTTTTAACTCTTCACATTTATCACAACAATAAAAACCCTAATTAAGACAATACTTAAGGGAAATATTTAAAGGAAAAAATAGAATATATATTTTCCCTTACTTCCCACTGCTTATTCCTATCTATTTGTGTGACTATATTTTGCTTTTATTTTAAGTACAATAAAAATCCAGTATCAGAATAACTACATGTATTTATTACTCTCTTCATTCACCAGGAGATACCAGATAAGTATTTCTAGGTACTACAGATGTAATGCTATGAATATCAGGCATTTAAGTCATGAATAATACATGATTAAAACACACATTATTGAGATTTTTTTACCTGTCCTTTCGCTATAAGATAAGCAACAATTGAGGTATGTCCAAACTGAGCAGCCAAGTGGATACAGCTGCACCCTTCCCCATCAATTAATGAAGGATCTGCACCATATTTCATTAGTTGTACAACCATGGATAAATGGCCTTGTCTGAAAAATAGAAAGAGAAACATTTGGACATATTTCAGAAAGTCTTCTGGAAAAGAGTATACTTGGAGGAAGGTAATGGTGGGAAGTTAAATCACAAATTTTATGGTGTTGCTTTAATACAAGACACAGGAGTTTACGGTTCTAAATGGAACAACAGCTTTTATAACTTAAAACAATATTAATAACTAAGTTATTTATCTTCCAATATGATCCTAAAAATCCCAAGAACTAACCTGTTTAACTGTAAATACACACATACAAAGTATTACACTTACAACTCCCAAATGTAATCAACCCTTCCAACTGGATCAGCCTGCTTCCCTAAGGACAACTTGTAACTTTGTTTCTAAAGAAGACAACACTGGACAGCGGTAACTAAACTTTAACTACATCAAGTATTAGCATATTATTTTCTAAAAAGAACCCAAGGGGAGGGCGACAAAGAAGTAAATGTAAACCTTGTGGCCCAGTGCAATGGAGTTGAATTCAGGTCTCCTCCAAGTTGATCCACAATAGCACCTTTCGAAATATAGTATCTGTAAAACAAAATTTGTAGTAATTTAGAGTTTTCATCTTCAACTTCAGATATGAGAGGGAGTATACTGAAGACTGGGGAAAAGTCAGGAAACTGAAGGAGGGAAGAAAGAGGAGCAAACAGAGCATGCGTTACAGGAAGCCGCCCCTCAGGGACATCCTCTGTCAACTGTGTCCTCTTCACCTAGGACGTCAGTGCCTAGATCTTCCCTGGCCTTAGTATCTGTCTGCGCTTCACCTTCTGTGCTGGGTTTACTTGTCCATTTCCAAGAAGTATTCTAGATTCAGTGCCTTACCTAAAAAAATCTTATGTCCAAAGTATCAAAGACTACTAATAATCTCTTATCACTCAACTCTTGCTTACCTCTTTCTTACTGATGATAAACAAACAGACTTATGCGAAAGGCTACAAATCATTTTATACCTAGAATGTGAGTACTTATCACCCAGCCCATGTGTGAATGGTAAGAATACTATCTATTACTGTGTTACACATCTTTTTTTTTTAAATCTTTTATTTTTTTTTATTAATTACACTTTATTCATTTTGTATCCCCCCATGAGCCCCTCCCTCCTCCCCTGCCGATCCCACCCTCCCTCCCCTTTCTGCATGCATGCCACTCCCCAAGTCCACTGATAGGGGAGGTCCTCCTCTCCTTCTTTCTGATCTTAGTCTATCAGTTCTCATCAAAAGTGGCTGCATTGTCCTCTACTGTGGCCTGGTAAGGCTGCTCCCCCCTCAGGGGGAAGTGATCAACGAGCAGGCCAATCAGATTATGTCAGAGGCAGTCCCTCTTCCCATTACTATGGAACCCACTTGGACACTGAACTGCCATGGGCTACACCTGTGCAGGGGTTCCAGGACATGGCTTGTCAGGATTAACATAGTAAAAATGGCCATCTTACCAAAAGCAATCTACAGATTTAATGCAATTCCCATCAAATTGCCAACACAATTCTTTACAGACCTGGAAAGAAAAATTCTCAACTTCGTATGGAATAACAAGAAACCGAGAATTGATAAAACAATCCTCTACAATAAAAGATCTTCTGGAGGTATCTCCATCCCTGATCTCAAGCTGTACTATAGAGCAACAGTTATAAAAACTGCATGGTACTGGCATAGAAACAGAATGGTGGATCAATGGAATCGAACAGAAGACCCAGAAATAAACCCACACACTTACGGACACCTGATTTTTGACAAAGATGCCAAAACCATACAATGGAAAAAAGATAGCATCTTTAACAAATGGTGCTGGTCCAACTGGATGTCTACATGTAGAAAAATGAAAATAGATCCATACTTATCACCCTGCACAAAACTGAAGTCCAAGTGGATCAAAGACCTCAACATAAAACCAGACACATTAAATCGACTAGACACATCTTTCCTTGCTGCTTTTCCCATTTAGAATTCATATTCAAAATATACAAGCCAAGTGAAATTACCCAAATTCAAGTATAATTCTAACCTTTACTAGCTATGTGATATTGGGTAGCATATTTAAGCTTTCTGCTTCAATTTCCTCACTCATAATTATTACTATCTCAAATGGGGTCATCTCAACAATTAAGGTAAAAGGAAATATATGTGGAAAAGTACTATATAGGACTCAACTCATGTAAGCCTTAAATATATTCTAAATATAAGTTGATTTTTTTTTTTTCGGGAGGGGGAGTCAAGACAGGTTTTTCCTGTGCAGCCCTGGCTGTCCTGAAACGCTCTCTGTAGAGCAGGCCGGCCTCAAACTCACAAAGATCCACTTGCCCCTGCCTCCCTGAGGGCTGGGTTAAATAAAGGCGTGAGCCACCACCACCCAGCAAGAACTGGCTTGTTTTTAAAGGTTTACAGAGTAAACCGTGAAGGCTATCCACTTTAGAAAACTTGAGTTGTTGTAATAGTTACATCCAGTAACTTCACAGTGATAGGAAAACCAGAAGCTTAATAATGAAAAGCACAGAAAGCACATACTTGACTAAATCTATTCTGTTATTGATGGCAGCCCAGTGAAGAAGTGTGACATTTTCTTTATCCGGCTGTCGTACATCATAACCTGCTTCCACCAATTCTCGGCAGCGTTCATATATGCCATATCTAGAAAAGAGAACAAGTGGTGGTACATTACTAAAAACATTTAAAGCTGAGCACAATATTTTCATAAGTATTGCTTCTTTTTTTAGAGGCAGGGTAGTCCAGGTTGGCCTTAAACACACTGCAACTTCTTGCTTTAGCTCCCAAGTTGCTTGAATTACATGTGTGACATCACATTAATCCTCCATTTTCATGCTTAGAAATTAAAACTATTTCTAACATAGATTACTTTGAAAATTTAATAGCTTTTACTATTTTCAACAGCTTTTACTAACCATTTTTTGCAGTTGTAAAGTATCTCATTTGTAACCATGTAAAATTTCACGAGGTACAAAATTATCGGAAAAAAAAAACATGAATCAGACAATTTCTTTAAATTGTAACTTAGTCCACAAAACTATGCAGCTTTTAAAACATCAGAGATGCTTTTAAAAAACATTAAATTAGGGGCTGGAGAGATGGCTCAGGGGTTAAGAGCACTGGCTGTTCTTCCAGAGGTCCTGAGTTCAATTTCCAGCAACCACATGGTAGCTCAAAACCATCTATAGAGAGATCTGGGGCCCTCTTTTGGCATGCAGGTGTACATGCTGACAGAACATTGCATACACAATAAATAATTTTTTAAAAAACATTAAATTATAAGAAAATAATAGGGAACACATAAGACATTAGAGAACTACCATGAACAAAAGTGGTTTTATAGAAATTCTAAGAATTTTAAATTATATATTTTTAGTTGATATTCCTGAAGGCAAATAAAATTTTGTGTGTTGGAATAGGAAAGGGGGTGGGAAGGTCCGGTGATTCATGTCAATCCATTAAAAACTAAGGGAAAGTCTACCAGAAAGCTCCAAGAAGAGGCTCATATCTAATTACACAGAGGCAAATGCAGACTGATCATCATTGTGCAGAAAATTTACTTTTTTAAAGATTTGTTTTATTTTTCAGTGTTTGCCTGCACGTACTGTCCATATGCCAAGTGTGTGCTGCAACCCTGGAAGCCAGAGGAGTACCTTGGATCCCCTGAAACTGGAGCTAGAGACAGTTATGAGTTGCCACGTGGGTCCTGGGAACTGAACCCAGTTCCTCTGAAAATTTTCCAAGTATAAAGACAATTTATTTAACTATTAGAAAGAAGTTTTGTGAATGGAGCAAAAGCCATGTAAGAAAAATTAAGCCAAACCAAGTCCATATAAGTATGAAATTGTTTATTAATCAAATAGGAAAAAGTAGAAAATTATATTAATTTTAATTGCATAGAGAAAATATTTAAATTTCAGTAACACTGTTTTAGTTTGCTGGTTGTTGCTAAGATTAAACACTAACCAAAAGCAACTTGAGAGAAGGGTGCCTTTCAACTCACAGGCTACATTACAGACCATCATTAAAGGAAGCCAGGGCAAGAACCTAGAGACAGGAACCGAATGAAGCATAGGCTTTGGAGAAATACTGCTTATTGGCTTGCTGAAGAACAAAAGCTTTTAACCAATGAGCCACTTCTCCATCCCCCAAAGTTGCCAACTTTAATTACTGTTTTAAATAGACATTCATTCTATTTATTGTGTACATGTGTAGAGGTGTGCCACAGTGCATATGGGGAAGTCAGAACACATCTCTCCTTCCACTCTCTGAGTCCCAGAGACAGAGCTCAGGAACTTGGGTTGTCAGGTTTGGTGACAAGGGCATTACCCAACATCTAGCCAGCCCCTTAAAGTCTCCGTTTATTAAAGGCTTACTTTTATTAGTTTAATTGTGTGTGTGTGCGCATGTGTGTGTTATGTACACATGTGTGGAGGTGCTGCAGAGGCCAGAGCCATCAGATTCCCCTGGAGGTGCAGCTCCAGTCATCCCATGTGGGTGCTGAGAACCAACATGTGGCTCCTCTGCAGGAGCAGCAGACTGCTAACCATGGAGCCATCTCTCCAGCTACCCCCACCCCAGTCCCCAGCCACCATTTAATTCAATTATGAAAATTTTCAGGTATAAACAAAAATAGAAAAAAAAGTACAATAAGCCACCAAAAACCTATCTTCAAGCTACATACCATAATTTCATTAGCCAAAATATTAGATCTCTGGAATTATATAACACACAAAAACAAACTTACGTAAATTTGACAACCTTCGTTTCTTTACAACCTTTGTATTTTAATAACTTTTGTTTCTTTACAACTTTCGTACTTTGACAACCTGTGTTTCTTTGGTTTTGTTTGATTTCATTTTTTTTCAGGCTAGCCTTGATCACAGAATCCTCCTGCCTTTCCCTGTACAAATAGCACTGCAGAGCATTAAAGGTGTGTGCCACCACACCCATATAATTTCGTAATCAAGTTCAAAATGGGGAAGGTCCTCCACAGATTATGGATAAGAGAATGAGCAATAAGAGGACACTAACAGCAAATATTAGAACTTCTCATTGTATTTAAATGTACCTAAGAGAAATCAATTGGACACATTTATAGACCCCCATACTGCTGCCATCCCTGGTTCTATCGTGTATATGTGCAAACACACACAAACAAAAGTTTAGAGCAGATGAGATGACAATGTCATCTTTAGATGTTCTCTTACACAGGGTGTTTCTGTTTGCTTGGTGAAACATCCTGGGTAGGTTATATACTCTCACTTTATGATCTAGTATATTTTTAAAGGTACTGGGAACTGGCCATCCCTTGCTCTGCCTTTACTTTTTGAGATAAGACCCTGCTACATTGATCACTCTAGCCTGAGGCAAGCCCTGAACTTAAAATCCTTTATCTCAGCCTCCCAAGTAGCTCTGGTTACAGGCCAGTATCAACAGTTCTAGACTTACTAGCATAAAGAGTGGAATCTCACCTTGAATAAGATGGTAAATGTCCAAAAAGTCTTTTTAACTGTATACAAAAATCATTGGCTTTCTTCTCGTGCTTAAAAGTATATACGAAAAAAGTAAGTAGCCTAGGAGAGACTCTCAGAAGATGGCAAAGAGTTCCTGCACTGGTTCAATCTGGGTAACCTCACTATCCGGGAACTCCGAACTCTACCAGACCTCCAACTTCATGGTTAATTCATGGACATTAAATTGTGATTAACTTCAGGATGTAGTACAGCAGTAGATAGCAAACTTCGGCATGCATCCCCAGGCAGGAAGCAATGAGCTTGTTCCAAGAGCAACCACAAAACAAGACATTAGCGTCAGGGTGGATGAAAAGGCCCCTGCCCTCCAAGCATGAAAAGACCTGTAAGCACTGCTGCTGCTCAGGGCTTCCAACTGCTGTATGCCAGTCTTCCTCAAGCTGACATGACATGCTCTAACTTAAAGGGCCAATGCTTGGGGGACAACAATAAAAGTTAAGTCATCCAAAGGAAAGTGTAAACAGTGAGAAAATTAAAAAGTGATGATGAGTGTCCAGGGAAGGCACAGGCTCTGAAAGACCCAAGAAGACCTTAAATTTATATTCAGGCTGAGGTAAGCAGAGACTACTTGCAAAAATAAAAAAAACAAAAACAGCAAACCTTGAGAAAAGGGAGTGTTGATTTTCATGATTACTATGTTTTAAATTCAAATGTTCAGTTTTCTGGGGCAGGGGAAAGGCAGAGATTGTTGTAAAATCAACCATCAAAGGGGATATGGAAACAGCTAGTCATACCTCTTTTAGAACTTATCTATTTAGCGAGCCTGCATGCACACGTGACAAGCACATCTTTGGGAACCAGCAGGAGCCGGCTCTCTCCTTCCTTGATATGGGTCTCATGGATTAAACTCGGCTCATCAGACCTAACAGCAAGCACCTGAACCACTGAGCCATATTGCCAGCTCCAGAACACATTTTTTTATAATGTTAAAAATTAATTTGTATAAATTCTGTAATACCAAATCAAATTAAAGTAGTTATAATAACTTTAGGATATTAAGAATAATAGTCATGGCAACCACAAAGAAACCTATTCAAATGAGAAAGGTATTAAATGTTTCACTATAAAAATTCAACTAAGGATTCCAAAACAATAAAGGCTGCTGCTATTGTCACTGCAGTTGCTCACCCAATAAAACTAGATGGTAAAGGACCCTATTGCTAAAGACTCCATTTGCCTTGGCCCCAAAACAAGAAAATCAGCTGGAATTCAGATGACTGCCTCCCAGCTGACTAGCCCTCAGAGTACGAAGATACCATGCAGGCTGCTGTGAGGAAACTAGCAACTGCGGTACTCAGCTGTGGATCCTGTGTGCTCCGTTACCCACAGGCCAGGCAAGAGGAGCCCGCTGGTGTAATAGTGGCAAGTCTATTATTAGGGAGGTTACCAACTGCTTTCTTATAGGAATGAGAGAATTAACTTCTAGTACAGAAACCTGGTCAAAAGCTGGTGACTGAAGTGTATGGAAACAACAGCCATTTTGCTTAATAAATATGTGCCAGTCAAACTGACTTGTAAATTTTTGTTTATGAGCAAATACTAACTCTGATGTCATGTTTGGTCAGAGGTAACTGCAACAACTTACAATTGGTAAGAGTGCTAAAAATAAGTAACTTTGAAAACTCAGGCATAAATGAGACTTGGTGTCATCCTCTCCAAGGATCTGGGAATACCATGGCTGAGAGATCAGAGGATGAGGTAGAACGCTGCCTGTCAGGTATAACATGGCCATGGCACTCAGCAGTTATGCATTTAAGACCTGGCCCATCACCACATCCTGTCCTGCAGATGCTCAGAAGTTCCTCTCACTCTTCCCTCAGGACCTACAAATAGCTAATGTTGATAGGTGAGGGAGAACAATTTTCTTCAGTACTGAAGCCATAAACCCACTAAGCAACCCATCACCTATGTTTAAACAATCCTAATAAAACACATTCTGTCATCAAAAAAAAAAAAAAAACAGGCATGAAAATGGAAGAGGGACTAAGTAAACAGCAGAGGGACAGGCACAGGGGAGGACACAAACACACACAATACTACGTATAATTACTGTATATTAGTATAAAAAGTATATGCTAATAAAAATGTTATTAATAGAAAGAAAAAAATTAAGAGTGATCTTTCTACATCTGATATTTTTCAAGTGCCTAAAAGTAAAATTAATCAATATGCTAGAGGGCCAGATTTTTGGAGTAACATGTTCATAATGTTTCATTTCCCATATATGAAACCGCTTTAGAAATTTTAAAGTCACATTTGACTTTTTAGGCCTTCTGTGGTGGTACACACCTTTAATTCCAGTACTCAGGAAGCAAAGGCAATGCAGATCTCTGAGTTTTGAGACCAGCCTGGTCTACACAGTGACTTATAGGCCAGCCAAGGATACACAGTGAGACCCTGTCTCAAATATAAAACAAAAAAAGCCTTTTCTCGTCTCACATTCACAGTATCTAGGCCTTTTTAAAATAAGGGAAAGATATTAGTAAGAAGACCAGGGGAAAGAGGAACAACAGTAAGAGAGCCAATACAGGGTTAAAGTACATTATACAGATGCATGAAAATATCCTAATGAAATCTGTATCTTATACAATTAATATTTACTAATACGTTTTCTCCTTGGCATAGACATACAAATGATCAGGAAGACGAATTCTAAAATGCTGAAAGACTCAAGTCATGTTTCTCCTCTCTGCAGATAAAAATACCTGTTGTATTTCAACTTCCGTATGATTCAAATTATAATATTCTTAGATTCATCATATCCTTACCCAATCTCAAAAACTAATATAATCTGACATTTTGAATCATATTCCGAGCATTTTTGTGATACCCCTTAGGTTAAAAAAATATATATAATATATATGTATATATACGTATACACATGTACATCTATATACACATATACACACACAAAAACTACATTGTATTTGTGTACCTGGTGAAGGGGTAGGAAATATGAAATACACCCCATGTTTTTAATTCAAAGGTACTTTTTAAAGTTGGAAGTGTTTTCTAATTGTTCATATTCAATATTCTTAATGTAAAATAATAAACTTCCACAAAATGCAAGTAACAAAAGCAAACAGCTGATAGGAATTAGAATAATTTAACTGAGATACTGACATCTCACCCAAGGCAATAGAACATGTAACTCACACTCAAAACAAATGTCAAGGAAGAAAACAACCACAATAAAAACCTTACTGTGTAGCCTTGACTATGTCCCATGTGCTATAGTCGTCAATATGAGTTTTCCGTCCAAGAGGTTCACCATATCCATGGTTATAATGGCTTTGTGGTTTGATTTCCTGTTAAAGAGAAAAAGCACACAGGCAAGAAATAAAAAAAAACAGCTACAGAAAAATTATATTTTTGTTTTTGTGCTATTTGACAAGTATTTATTATTGAAATGATTATGTCTAGCTTACTTAAAAATCCGCATTCTAGAGAAATAGCATGGGGGTATACAACCCCAGAACTAGATAGCTCTGAGATTACAAATTAGCAACTGTCTTTCATACCTTAAAACTCTAAGGTTTTTCTGAAACATTCTCTTGTGCCAACTTTTTTTATTGCTTTAGAATAACCTGAGCTCCAGCACTATGTCCCAGACAACCTATAATACACTAGCAAAAGGAAGGAAGGACTCAAATGGTCTCTTAGCGGAATACATGTAAGTACATTCCTCTCCTAAAAGCACATGCCTTTAGTCCCAAGCAGACGGATCTCCATTATCTTCACGGCCAGCTGGTCTACATCGCAAGTTCCGTAATGAATACAGCCAGAGCTAAATAGTGAGACCCTGTCTCAAAAAAACAAAAATCTATTCTCAGGTACTAGCTTTTCCTAAACCTTTCTAGGTAAATGAACAGCTCTAGCAGAATGTCTATCTGCCTGAATACAGCCATGCATCCCTTAACACTTCAGTCAACAACAGACCACACAACCCTGTACCCCATAAAACTGTACTAGAGCTGAAAAATTCCTCTCACCCAGCAGTGATCACCTTTATGCACTCCACACACTGACACATTGCAACGCAATGCAGCATTACCTCTATGATGGCTGAACCTTCAGGCAAGTCCTGCTAACTTAAACTCTGTTCCATGCTGAGCTCCTTTTCACATAGCCCCTTACTTCTCCCCATTTGACTTTTAAACATGACAGGATAGGAACACAGATCATCAAAGTGTCTACAGCAGAGCCTATCATGGCACTACCGCCCTCTTTTTAAGACAGGGTCTCACTAGGTAGCCCAGACGAACCCCAAACTCACAAGCCTGCCTCAACCTCCCAAGTGCTAACCCATGTGCCACCATGAGCATCTGCACGGGTGCCCTTAAAGGAAATGAAAGAATGGATTTTTTTTTTCTCATATTGAAAAACATTTTAATCCCAGCAGTACAGAGGCAAAGACAGGCAGATCTCTTTGAGCGTGAGGCCAGCCTGTTTACGTAAGTTCCAGGACTGCCAGAGTTACAACTAGAGACCGTGTTTTACAAAAACCCTTTAACTCATTTAACATTTCTCCATTTCATGAAGAGGATATAAGTATGTCCAGCTAAAGAACAATATCTGTAATCCCATCAATAATATATTATTAACTATTTTCCCATGGCAGTGGACACTATTTTAAAAATTTCCCCTATTTTAAAATAACATTTGTGATGGGTGGGTGTGGTGGCACATGCTTTTACTCCCAGCACTTTGAGGCAGAGGCAGGTTTGAGGCCAGTCTGGTAAACACAGTCACTTCAGACAGCCAAAACTATGTAGAGATAATGCCTACAAAATAATAATTAATTTAAAATAAGTATTTTCCTCCTGTATTTTTTTTTTTGAGAAGTTCCTGTTCACATACTTTGGAGTATATGAACTTTACTGGACTCCTGAGATTCACTTAACATGTTTTGAATTAGACTTGTATATGCAAGATTAGATATTAGATATTAGATTAGATATTACCCATTTTCTTATTAAAGTTATGTGTCTCATTCCAAAATTGCTGATTTATGGCTTCAATATATTTCTGACATACAAGTAATAGTCACATACATTAGTCTCCCTTGAGCGTCTCTGGTCTTGATTTTTATAGTTACATTCACATTCAATCTTTAGCGCTAGTTATCTCCCACTTCTCAGGCACAGAGACTAACAACCCTGACCATTTGAAAGTAGTATGTGTAAGTGATGGGTTTTTATTTTTAACTGAATATACACAACAAACATATGCCTCACTGGCAATCCTTCTAAAGAGTAAAAATGGTCATTTTAGGTCCAAAAGTAGCCACTGCTTACCACATAACATATGTGCACCATGGACCACTAACACTGAGACTGCTAATGTTTCAGAGCTGAGACTTCACCAGAACCCATTTATCCTAATTAATGTAATCACGAGAGCTATTTATTTTGGGAAGTACCATACAGAGAGATCTCTAGAAACCAACTTTATTTTAGAGACAGCTGTAACTACTATATTGTTTTGCTAATTTATGTACACAGATTTCTCTTATGTGGCCCCACATAAGAAATTATTTTAGACTATCTCTTTGAATATTGTAAAGTACAACCTAATCTCCTAAAAATAGGTGGTACTGTCTTCTCATTTTCATGCCCACAGTATTAGCAAAAATTATCAAATCACCTACATTAAACATTTTACATGACAAAATAGCTCTAATTCATAATTGTGTGGAATTGGATTGCTGAGTGTCCTGAGACAAATTATCTTAGACTAGCTTAGCTCCCTAAATGGCTCCTTACAGCCTGCCTCCATACATGTGCTAACACCTTTTAACTAGGTAAATCCTTCTGGAATGTAAGAGTAGAGTCCTAGCTTCTTTTTATCAATCCCAAAATTAAGAATGACATTAGACAGTATCCAAGACCTATGGAAAAGTTACCCCTGCTTTGCTGAAACCACTTTCTTGATGCTTTCACCAATGTATTGAAAAAGTGTCTTGATTTATGATTCTTTGTACTATTCCTATAAAAACTTCTTAAGGTTTGTTATGACTTTAGAACGTGGTACCTGCAGTAATCTAAATCTGTGTTTCTGGGCCAAAGTAGTCACTCATGCTTAGATCTAAAATAAATTATTTCTTACTCCTTTTTTGGTTAAGAGCTATGTTTTTGTGTTTTTTTTTTTTTTTTTGTCTTTTCACTTGAAAGTAATTATCAATTTTATCTTCTATCTCAAGATCCTAAACAGTATCCTTTTAATACATCTCCTTGTTGGACTGAAGTTATTCTGAGAATCTCTCTTCCTCCCTCTGGACCAACAGCAATTCTTAGCATCCTAAACTCAAGTCCTCAACACATTTCCAATAGGTCCCAAAACACTGGGTCAGACACAAAATGATTCCAAGCCATTCTGAGAAAGTACTTTTTAAGCATTTTAAGTTGCCTTTCCTCTTAAAATATAAGAGTTACAACACACATACATTGTCATTTAAGCTCATTTACCAAAATGTAATTTGAGTGGTGCAGAAACAGGGCAAAAGTCCTATGAAGTATTAAGTAATTTCTTAGAAGAATGTAAAACTTGAATCTTTGAGAATAAACAAAGGCATCAAGGATCTAGGTTCAATAGGCCACAGCATTCCATCAGCAAGGCTTAGAAAGGGAAATAGCAAGATTAGATACACAGCTAACCCTCCCACCTAATGAAAAAGCATCTGACTCTGATACCCTCCACAATGTAGTCCTTTTCCTTCCTGTGTGTGTGTGGGGGGGGGGGGAGAAAACAGACTAATGGTGTCCTATTTGTGTTGTGCAAATACTCTATCACAGAGCTACATTTCCTAGCTTTTCTTGTTTGCTCAGAGGTATTTATTTCTACCCACTAAAATGTCCTAGCAGACAGCTGGTGGTGGCACATGCCTTTAATCCCAGCTCTTGGGAAGCAGAGGCAGGTGGCTAAAATGTCCTAGCAGCCAGATGGTGGTGGCACACACCTTTAATCCATTTCTTGGGGAGCAGAAGCAGGTGGATCTCTGAGTTCACAGCCAGCCTGGTCTACAGAGTGAGATCCAGGACAGCCAGGGCTACATAGAGAAACCCAGTGTCAAAGAAACAAAACAAAACGTTCTAGGTAGAAAACTCACTCAACTTTGACTCTTGACCTCAAAACCTCACAAATGCTTTCCTCTAAATAAACCCTTACTGCCCCTTTCTCTGTGTCCCCCTTAGAACACCTCTCAGTCTATCCATACTACTGCCTCTATTACTCTCTTCAATTTTTTATGACCAAGTTTATCAAGTGAATTTATCAAAATCTTCCATGAACCTGTCCCAGGTTTTTGTTTTTTGTTTTTTTTTTTTAATTTTAGTATCTAAAGTTGTTAAGTTCTCCTGCAAACTGGGTACTTTACAAACCTTGCTATCTTATGTCTTAGCTCATGTTAGTCATCCTACTTAGAAGATGTACTCAGACTTGGCAAACTTTTAAATCCCAGTTCATAATTCAAGTACCACTTTGGTTTCCCTCAAACACCCAGCTACACTATTATTACCTGAACTCTTGTTACTATGCAAATAAATCACTAGGCATTGTGTGAAGGAATGTTAGTTTGCTAATTCCACTGTAACAAACCTAGTGACTTAAAGCAACACATTATCTTAGGCTTCTGGAGCAGAAATCCAAAAACCATTATTCCTCCTTGCTAAAGGCAAGGACACCTCCCTGTCATAGATCCTTAGTCATCTCTGCCAAGACTTTCCTTCAGAGGTAATAATTCCTGGTTGCAACAGAGTTGACACTGCGAATAGTTTTCTGTCGGTTATTAATGCCTAGGACACAGTCAAGTACTTGCTTTTGCAGCTGGGACATGCTGAGTGCTCTGAGGTCTAAGGACTGATAGACTCCCTCCCCTTGCATAAACTTCAGTCAGGCTATCATGAACACTGAGACATAAAGCAGTGCCTCACTAAGCAGCCCAGCCTGCGTCAAACTTGTCCATCTTCAGCTTTAGCTTTCCACATGCTGGTGATCTCACAGTGTGAACTACCATGTTCCACTGAGCTCCTTTCTTGACCTTGACTCTCGTCCTTGTTAAAATTGTTGCAAGCCCAATTTTAGCAAGAATCCTATTAGGTCAGTTGAGAGAGAATCTCCTGAAATTCTTCAAAGAATCTTTTCACATCAAACTATCTCTAGGTTGGACAAGCAAATCTAAGCTGGACTTGTGGGCAAGTCATAGCTATTTCCAGCAAGTTCACCCTCTCTCTTTAAAATGCACAAATCCTTGTCAGACCCCTTCCTTATGAGGGAAAAAAAAAAAAAAAGCGGAGTAGACAAGAAAAAA